CCGCGGCAGAGCTCGGCGCTCGTGCCAGGGCAGCCTCCTCTGCACTCCCCTGGGAGCTGGCAGACACGTCTGAAACGTTTGCACTCCGGAGAGCTGGGCATCCAGGTCCCTCTCTCTTGCTAAGAACTCCTTAATTGAAACGTGCTTTGAAATAAACAGGAAAACTGCTGTTACCTCGCAGCTTTGCCACTGGTTTGGAATATTTGGTCTGAGCTTCTGCTCACAAACTACCCTTCTCATATCTTCTATCGAAGGATCAGAAGGCACAACGTCATAGTAAGGCAACTGGTATTCCTCGGTGATTCCTAGGGAAGATTTAAGGTGTAAGTAACACAAAACCCAAATTAGCTGCTCCTGAATAAACTCTCATTGTTTCCACAGCCAACGAGAGAGAACTGAGGAACCTTTGGGGCCACCTTGAACTGCTCCACAACAGACTTTTGCCACCACGTACTGCCAGGAAAATTGAGAATGTTTTTGTCTTAAGGTACAAGTGGTCTGGATTGCAAAAGGAGAGGGGAAACCTCACCTCCAACGGAGCACCGCCGGGCTATCTCCCAGTAGACCAGCCCCAGAGAGTACATGTCTGCACGCTTGAAGGACTCGAAGATGCTCGTGTTCATCACATCATCAAGTATCTCGGGAGCCATATACCTTTAAAGATGACAGAGGCAGGTCAATGTGCTGGAGGAGCTCACCTGAAGGCAGCAGCAGGACCAGGACACAGCCGGTCCCACCGGGAAAAGGAAACAGCTCCTCCCGACAGCGATGCCGAGGGAGAGCAGGGGAGGTGTTTCTTCTCATCCCACCAGAAGAGCCTGACCCCGACCTGGCTCCAGGCTCCTGTCAGGAGCTGTGCAGAGCCAGAAGGTCTCCCCTGAGCCTCCTTTGCTCCAGGCTCAGCACCCCCAGCTCCCTCAGCTGCTCCTCCCCACACTTGGCCTCTAGACCCTTCCCCAGCAGCTTCGTTGCCCTTCTCTGGCCACGCTCCAGCCCCTCAAGGTCCTTCTTTGAGGGAGGGGCTGAGATCTGACCCCAGGATTTGAGGTCCAGCCTCTCCAGTGCCCAGTGCAGAGGTATGTTCCCTGCCCTGCTCCTGCTGGCCACACCAGTGCTGGCCCAAGCCAGGATGCTGGTGGCCTTCTTGGCCACCTGGGCACAGGCTGGCTCCTCTCCAGCCAGGGCTTGAGTCTGCTGCCAACACTCGGCAGGTGCCCAAAGCAGAGGGGGCAGTCAGCGATGGGGGAGAGGGCCGAGAGAAGCCACCCCCACCGGGCGAGCCAGCCCTGCGCCCAGCAGCCACCCTCACCCACCTCCTGGTGCCCACCCGGGGGTTCTGGGGGATGTCGATGGTGTTCAGCACCGAGTCGTGCTTCACGGCCAGGCCCAGGTCGGCGATGGCGCAGCTCTCGTTCCGCTTCACCAGGATGTTCTTGGATTTCAGGTCCCGGTGTGCGATGGCCGGTTTGCCTGCTCGCAGAAGGAGAAGGCGCTGGCAGTTTTGGTACTAACAGTATGAATTTTAACATAACCAGAAAGGAAGCAAGGTCCCTGGCTCTGCTGTGCTGAGGACTCCAGAGCTGCCCCAGCACTGCAGGGGGGTCTCACAGAGTGGGGCAGGATGTTCCCGGCCCCTGTTTACTCCATACCAGACATGCCCACACTGACGCTTTTTCCCACAGGGCAACAGTTTGCAAAAATCTTTGCTACAGCACATCACCCACCGGCGTTTTCCCAGCCAGCCACTGAAGCCCCACAGAACACCCACGGGAGGCTGCTCTTGCCTTGCGTGCCGACGATCTCCATGTGGAGGTGCGCCAGGCCGCTGGCCACCGACAGCGCCAGCCTGACCATGCCCTCCACCGTCACCGTGCCCCGGTTCAGGTAGTCGAACAGGGACCCCTGCTCGTGGTACTCGGAGACAAGCCACAGCTGAGTCCACGTCCCGTTATCTACCCGGAGGAAGAGAGAGGATCAGAGGAACTGGCCAAGGAAAGCCCTGCTCGCTTTGAGGCCAGCTCGAGCACGCAAAGGGACCACCCCGCCGGCTGCCCCGCCAGGATGCAGCTCAGGATGGAGCTGAGGACAGCTGGGAGGCTCGGGGACAGGGTTTTTGGCACCCGGGGCGTCCTGCCACGTACCCTTGTTGTCGGCAGCCACGAAGCCCAGGATGTTCTCGTGTCTCAGCATCACTGTCTGGTAGATCTCTGCTTCCCGAAACCAGGACCGCTCATCTCTGGAGGAGAAGATTTTCACAGCTACGTCTTCCCCGCACCACTTCCCCCGCCAGACCTCGCCAAACCGGCCCTTCCCCACGATCTCCTGCAGCACGATCGTCCTCGCGATCGTCCTTTGCACCAGCAGCGGTAAACCTGCAGAGGAAGGGGTGAGCACTTGTGAAGTAATTCAGCAGAGGTCTCTAAATCCCAAAGCTGGGCATTCCCCAGGGAGCTGTCCTCATGACTTTGCTCTCAAAGAGTACCAAGGGAAACTCCTCTCCCAGCCAAAACCTCCCAAAATCATCCTTTTTAGCATTACCTCTATACCACCACACGGGTGCAGTTCCCAGCAAAGCCAGGAACTCGTATGACACAGGTGCCTTTCTTCCTGCAAACCATAACTCCCTTATTCAAATAATTTTTAAAAACATAAAAATAAAACAATATAAAAGCAAGCCTGAACTGCTGAATGTAGTTCGATGTGGACTACAGTTTGTTTTGCAGTCCATTAGTTGACCTGTTCTGGTCAAAATTTTCATAAAGTTAAGGAAGCTCTCAGAGCAGTTTCATTCTGGTTTGCCAGCCACAACCCCTCCACCTTGTTTGATTTCATACCCCATTTGTTTGGGACTTAAAACAAGGAATTATTTTTTCCTTTAAATAAAGGCAACGTAGTTCGATGTGGACTACAGTTTGTTTTGCAGTCCATTAGTTGACCTGTTCTGGTCAAAATTTTCATAAAGTTAAGGAAGCTCTCAGAGCAGTTTCATTCTGGTTTGCCAGCCACAACCCCTCCACCTTGTTTGATTTCATACCCCATTTGTTTGGGACTTAAAACAAGGAATTATTTTTTCCTTTAAATAAAGGCAACCTTGTTTTTAACAGAGCAA